CACAGAAGAAACACGTTGGATCAGTCGCTGCGAGTGTGGAACCTGACTGAGGGGAGTCGACTTGAGTTGGATTCTGAGGGACTATTTCTGGTGCTGCTGCTACAGCAGTGACAGGTTGAGGGGCAAAGTAACTTTCTGAGCTGCGCATAGCAGAGTCAAGTGCCCTGGCTTGGTCAAACATGGTTTTCAAATCCAAGGTTTTGTTTTCTAGCAACCTTTGACGGATCTGGTTARAATGCAATCCCGAAATGAAGGCATCCCGTATGTATTCCTCACAATACTTGGTAGCGTTGACTGGTTGGAAGTTACATTCCTTGCTGAGAGTTTTCAGAGCCTGTAGATACTCGTCCAGGCTTTCACCCGTCTGCTGACGTCTAGTAGCCAGTAGGTGTCTCGCGTAGATTTCGTTGGTCGGTTTAACATAAATATTCTGAAGAGTTTCGATCGCAGACTCGTAGTCGGTACATTCTTCCACATATTCGAACACTGTAGGCGAGATAAAATTGGTAAGAACTCTAAATTTATCGAGGCCTTCTTCAGTCAAAACRGCGAGAAAGTTTTCGAAAGTTCGACGCCAGTGAATCCACGATTTTGATGCTCCAGCCGAGCTTGGATCTGCATGGAATCTCTCAGGCCGTAGAACTTTATCCATGGTTTATGCTGATTAAATTGTAGTGAAGTAACATAAGACAATTGCCGTGTTGTAAGGCTTTAATCAGCATAAACCTCATGCTTACACGAGTCAACTAAACATGGCGGCTTGGAGAGCAAGACCGCTGATCATAAGTGTCAGCGGCGCGACACAGGTATCCCGAAATATATATATCAATAATAACTTTTAACTAAAGTTATTCAAACAATAATTCTGAACAACAGTTGGGTGTCGATTGTCACTACACTACCAATATATTATTATTAATTTTCTACCAATGAATTATTATTGAATTTGATAAATGCTATAAATTATTTTTCACTATCATTAGGTATTTCTCAAGTGGAGAGACATAATAGAAACTGTTACAATATTAGCTTACGCAGTTGTAATTAGATACTTAGAGAAGTGATTGTTTGATTAAAGACGCATAACTATTTCCCCACCAACACGAACACGTCTTGAAACAGAAACAATAAGGGATCGCGTGTTTAAAGTAGAAGAAGGAGAAGAAGAAGAAATTGATATATATGACATGGAGGTAAGGACAATGAAATATTGTATCATTGACTCTTTTTCCTTAGCTCATTAGTATATCATCTTTGCAGCTATCACATTACATATGCAAAGCAAAATGAGTCCTAATCTAATAAGTATGCACTTGAGAAAGCTTGATTTCTGTTAAACACGAAGGGTGTGAATGCACTTTAATTGGCCCTGGATTGTGTTCTCATTTGTACATCATTCTGTGCCTACACACACATTATAACTAAACAAAAAAATCCAACTTTAACATTGTAAAACCAATATTGCCATGCAAAAAAGAAAAAGAAAAATTCCACATAAAACAGATATGACTTATAATTTTTTCAGGCAAAAGAATGGGGTTTTCTATTAAGAGAGATGTTTGGAGACAGACTGGGCACTGGAGACTATGGACATCTGACCATAGAGCACACTGGCATGCTGTTTAGACGTTTTCGCTCCTTTTCTAAGTACTCCAACCAAGGTTTTGAGGCTTTACACAGACTTCAAAGACAAGTCTATACCCGTGCGACTAACCATGATGCAAAGCTTCCAGGAAAATCATGTAAGTATATATATTAGTAATGTATGTTTTCAATGTTGGTGTCATGACAATAGAGTTAAGTTCAGACTCTAATGACTAAGCCTCTGTCTATGTGTAACAATGAACAAACCTTATTATGTATCTCTGTCCAGTGCACAAAGACATGGCCCAAGAATCATTTTCCACAAAAACATATACAGCTTTGTGAAATTGTAGGGTTTCTGAACATGTTATCATTATTTTATCATTGCTGTTTCTTTGTTAAGATATTTCAAAAAAGGCTCATACTGGGAAATCCCAGTTACCTTATGTAGATATCACATGATATATTAATGTTGACAATATTGCATCATTTAAGTGCCCTAATTCTATTGCATCTTTCAAGTATTGTGAGACATTATTATGGAGTGAACAGGTTGTAAAAAATATATAGAACTTTTCACTGTACAAAATAGCCCTACATTTTATATGTTGTAGTATAATGAATATCTTGCATTTTTTTTCTTTTTACAGTGGAAGATATCCTTATTCACCACTATGCCGAAAAGCTATTGTTCTTCAGGCTGTGTGTCACCAATGCTATTGAATGTCACAATGAAGGTTAGTATTACAAAATCTTAATTATAGAGAGGTGATCATTAATTTGTTTCTCATGAATATATCTCATGTCACCTGCATGATTAAGCCCCTACATAGTATCCTTCTCAAAATTCTATTTGACACAAGATGATGCTTATTCTAGATGGTTGTTACAAAATCCATTCTTGTGATTTATGGATACCAGTATTTCATGTATATAGGAAATAAATAAATAATAGAAACAAGAACGTCAAATATCAGAGGTTCATACAGTAGATACTTAAACCCATCTAAAAACGAAAACATTATACTGGTTTATTTATAGTTTACTTATATGTTAAGCAACCCCTAAAACCTTTTTTTGTGTTTGTTTGCTCCAAACAGGAAAACCTTTTCACTTTCGAGGTTGTGGCTGGAAAAAGAACATATGTCCTATGCTAAATGATGATATTAGATGGTTACACCTAATGAAAGATCTTTCAGCTAGCATTATGGGGGATGATTATCTTCAATATTATTTTGATAAAAATAGTGGTGTTAAAATTGTTGAAGATATGATACCACACGCCATTTACAACCATGAAGAATGGGAAGCAGAATATGGTCTCAAAATGAAAAAACATCACTGCATGACAATTGGCAATGAAAGTAAAGAACCTCCAGTCAAAAAAAGGAAATCAAAGAAATGTTTATTCAGCAGTGACAACGATGGCACACAAGATACCAAGACAGACACCAGCCCTAAAGTGATTCCATCAAAACCTAATGGTTTCCAACTTGATTCTCCAGTTAACTCCTTATCATCCAATAGAAACCTGAAGCTATGTCAGTCCAATATGATGGCAACCCGGTGTCAGCTAGCTAATATTATTTTACCCCCTTCAAAACGTATTGGTAACAATGACATTGAAATCATACTTTGTCCTGCTACTGTTCCATATTCTGATCCATATTCTATAACATGTATTCCATCCAAGACATCACTTGAATACAGTGAGAAGTTAATAGCAGATCTCCACAAATCAAACACAGCCAATATCCAAGGAATATCATTTAGAACCATTGGCACTTTTCATCCTGACCATCTTTCAGTCTTTCACAAGTTTCACCAAGTGCAAGAGATTTCAAATGATGTGTCATTTGAAGTGCAGTGGCTAAATATTGATGATGGGCTAGATAAAGAAGACATCATCAAGTTATCTTCAGCACTATGGGATAATAAGCCTTCAAAAGTCATCATAGCAATTACTCTGGCATATACTCTGGCAATTGACACGACTTCATTTGCAAGTCTTGTCGGAGAGAGATACCTGGACAACATGACAATTGATGTTTGTCTCAATAAGTACATGTGGGAATTGAAAGGCCAGAACTCAGCACTAGCTACACTAGTAGTTCCAACTCTAGTATGGACATGGGAATCTGCTAATAACCATCAACATCTCAAAACTCAGATTGAATCTTGCATCACTCATTGTCAAATTTCCACAACACACAATCTTCAGATAATCATACCTGTATACATGGCATCATTAAAACACTGGGGGATAGTCTATGTGGATTTTAGTCAAAGGCAAATGCACTTTGATGATGGCTTGAGAAAGAATATTCCCAGAGGTTTACAAAGGTCATTACAACACATACTAGATGCTTTCCACGAGGTGATTCCTGGAACAAATGCAAAATGGTGGAATAACTCAGCTACATTCAATCGACTAGGAATGCCCAGACAGGATTCAAGGGATGCACTTCAAAACAACCAGGGATCTGGAAGTTGTGGCATAGGTGTAATTTTAGCTGGAAGAGACCTAATGGCAAAGGGTAACAGTGCTATTCACAATTTCACATGGAATTTTGGCCAGAGTAGACTTCTAAGAAAAAACCTTATGCTCAAAATTTTACAATGGTCATGAAAGTCATCTTATTACTGAACTGATTGCATAATATTATGTACTGACAAATGTATTTTTGATCATAAAATATTTCAGTCTATTCCCATCCTAATAAGATTCAAAATTTGAAAATATGTATTGCTGTGCTGTCAATAATTCCATCTGTTCTTAAGGTGGCACGCCCGAGAGCAGTTTAACAGAAGTTACTAGGTGGCACGCCCATAAATCTGTTAATGGAATTTATTGAGAGCTGGTGAACAA